GCGAGATCTCAGCTCACTGTAACCTCCGCCTCCCGGGTTCAAGCGATTCTCCTGTCTCAACCTCCCAAGTAGCTGGGATTATAGGCATTCACCACCACGCCTGGCTAGTTTTGTATTTTTAGTAGAGATGGGGTTTTACCATGTTGGCCAGGCTGGTCTCAAACTCCTGATTTCAGGTGATCTGCCTGCCTTGGTTGCCCAAAGTGCTGGGATTACAGGCCTGAGCCACTGCGCCCAGCTGGTTCACTCTTAAGCCAGGTAGTCCAATGCAATTATTTTTCTTTCTTTGGTTTTTCTTAGATTTTAACAATAATCTCATTTTTTTGTTTGCCTAGTTTTCTGCATAGAGATCTCTAATTTTTTTCCGTTACAGGTATGTTCAATTACAAGTGTCAGGCATGTATTTATATTTTCCAGTAATTCAAATGTTCTCAATAATCTGTCACTTTTAAAAAAAAAATTTACTCTCCCCTCCTGGTCTGATCTGGTTTGGTTTCTTGTCTTGGGACTTCCCTTTGCTACTTTCCCTGTTTCTAGTTTCCTTTTCTTCCTCTCTGGCTTTACTCCCTCATTGTGCTGGAGTATATCCTCCAGCAGCTTCCTGGGACCTCCTAGTGCTGAGCCTTTCTGCAGCTCTGTGGTGGGAATCAGTTCTTGTGGTGGGTGTCCCCTTGCAGGCCTCCGTTCTCAGCGTTGTTAAGTCAGATTCCTTCTTTGCATCCACTGTTTGTCTTCCAGTGTCTTGTGGAAATGTCTTGCCTGCTGACGTCTTTGCTCTCGTTTCCTTTGACTGTTGTTACTCTCACTTTAATGGTGTTTCAGGAGGGAGAGGAAGTGGTTGCGATGATGATAATATTACTGATAGTGACTAGCAAATATTGAGCCTTGTTATGGGACAGGCACTCTTATAAGGGTTTTGTTTGAGTTAACCCATTCAGTCCTCAAAATAACTGAGTGAAGTAGGTACTATTATTAGTGCCAGAGGTGTTAAGTAACTTGCCCAAGGTCACACAGCAAATAATTGCCTGGGCTGGAATTCTGAACCAGGCAGCCTGGCTCCAGAGTCTGTGCTCTTGGCCACTATGCTGTGTGGCTTTTCTGAAGGTGGGAGGGATAGTTGGAGTCCCTCAACACATCTTTTTTGGGGGTGGTGAATCTATTTTAATATGGACAATTACAAATAATCTTTCCAACAAGATCACATCTTTTGCGGGAGCATGGATGGAGCTGGAGGCCATTATCCTTAGCAAACTTACACAGGAACAGAAAACCAAATACTGCATGTTCTCACTTACAGTGGAAGCTAAATGATGAGAGCTCATGGACACATGGAGGGGAACAATAGACTCTGGGGCCTGGTGGGGAGCATGGGAGGAGGGACAGGATCAGGAAAAATAACTGATGGGTAGGGTGCTAGGCTTAGTACCTGGGTAATGAAATATCTGTACAACAAGCCCCCATGACGTGAGTTTACCTGCACATGTACCCCTAAACTTAAAAGTTAAAAAAAATTTCCATTTATTTTGTAAGTAACATGTATATTAAATGTAATTGATACATATTTGTGCACATCTCATTTTCTTAGGAAAGATCTCTGCAAGTGAAATTGCTGGGTGAACATTGTTCATTCATTTAAGGCTTTTGAAATGGCTCAGTTGACCTCCAGATTGTACCATTCCCAACAGACTTACTTTTAACTTATATTTTAAAGTTGTTGCTACATTTAACATATTCCAATTTTTAGTGTTTCTTTCTCTAAACCTCTTAAACGAACATTCGTTTGTTCCCCTACTCACAGCTCCTAGTGTTTTCCCAAAGTTATTATTGCAGTGGTGGGGGTGGGGGAGAGAACGAAGAAGGCAAGGTTATGCGTGTTTATGAAAATCCTCACCAGGACGCTTCATTCTGTCTCTCCATCTGTTCTGCTGTCGGTCCCCTCCTTAGACACTTACCTCTTCTCTCCTGGGTTCTTGGGGTTTGCTGCAGTGCACTCCATCCTGGACATTCTTGTCAGACCGATTCCCTAAATCATTACCCCCAATAATCTCCTCCTCCGAAATCCTGGATGGCTCCCTGCTCTCTACAGAATAAAGGCTAAGCCTTATGCTTAGGCTTAAGTTGGAGATTTTTATCAACCTGCTTTAAACCCTTCGCTTCCTCTTCTTCTGTACACAGCTCCTGTACTTACTGGATTGGTCAAGACTCTTGGTTGCAAGTGACTGAAACTCAAACTGGCTTCATCAGAAACACAATATTGGCCACTAATTGTATAGCCCACAGACAGAGTGAGTTTGCAAGTGTCGCTGGCCCTGAGGCCCAAATCACTGTTGTCAGAACTCTTTCCATCTCTTGGCCTTCCTCTGTGTCTTGGCTCACTCTCAGGCAAGCCCCTCCTTGGCAACCCCTGGCACTCCCAGGCCCACATCCTCCCAGCTCCAGGTCAAGAGGAACAGAGGAGCTTTGTGTCTCTACATTCCGCTGGAGTCTCAGGACTGAATCGCATCAGAATGACTTGGGTCACGTGTTTGGTCCCGAACCATTATGAAGAAGAGAGGCAGGATGCCGGACAGGTGAAGACAGCACAGGGATTCTTTTCCTTGACATCTTTCTCGCTGCCTGGCACTTGCTCCTGCTGGTGTTCTGCCAGGGTACAGTTTTCCTTCCTCTCTGCTTCTTGAAATCCGACCCACCCTCCATGGCCAACTTGCAGTGAGTCTTCTCCTCACCCTTTTAGTCCGAAATGCCCTTTCTCCCGTCTCTTCTTCCGGAGTTCACAGGAGAAGAGTTGCCTTGTTTTCTGTATATACCCTTCCCATGGTGTCAAGGACAGGCTCAGTAGAAAGAGCCACTGAGGCATCCGGGGGAAGGAGCGTTCAGAGTGAGGCTGTGGGAAGTTCTCCGTTGCATCAGTGCTGAGAGGGGTGTTGAGGTGGACTCGAGTCACTCACACTTCCTGGGTGCAAACCCCAGCTCCATGGCTCGCATGTGTGTGGTCTTGAGCAATCCCTGGACCCTCTGAAAGCCTTCGTTTCCTCCTGTAAAGCAGGCATGATTCCAGTGCCTGTGTAAGGGGCAGCTTGTGAAGATGAAGCATACCTGCGCAGGGCCCAAAACACAGGCCGGAGTCCCGGGCTTCCTGCCTCATGTCACAGGTTTGGTCCTCTGAGCCTTGAGTGTGGCCATTTCCACTCTGAGCACCTGTCTCAGGGAAGAGTATTGGTGAGCAGGAGGATCTCTGATGGAGACAAAAACAGCCTTTCTCTGTCCTTATGTGTTAAATACATTTTTTTAAAAGCCAGCCCACCCCAAACAAGTCATTAGGAAGCCCTGTACCTTAGTGGTTTAAGAGCCTGGGCATTCAGAAATGTCACTTCTCTTTAACCCCAGAAGGGGTCTTGAGTGAGGGAAGGTGGGAAGAAAGTGTCCGTCTTAGCCTAGTTTGTTTCTAAGCCGTGATGCAGGTCCCCGGTCCCTACACCAGGGTGAAATTTATGATGTTTGGCCCACAGGAGTGAGTGCTGCCGGATGGGTGAGGGGTGAAGAGGGGTCCCCCACCGCAGCCCTGTTTTTGTACCTACATTTTAAGTTCTTACTAGGAACCTTGTGAAAAGCTGGGATGCTCCCATCACAGCCACACTGGTGAAACCTCCCCGCAGTGCTTACCGTATGCCAGCTGTTCTATACGGAGTAGCTCCTGTGATCTTCTCAGTGACATCAGGAAGTAGGCACGTTTGTAGTTCCCTGCTTTAAGAATGAAGACTTTGAGACCCAAAAGGGATAAATTACTTGTCTAGGTGATATCCCTGGTGATTAAGGGAGTGGGGAATTTGAGGCCCTGGCAGACTCATTCAGGTCTGTGCCCTAACCTCGTGTTTCTCGCGCGGAGCAGCGGGGCAAAAGGAGCTTCCACTTTGATTTCAGTGCTGCTCGAGGCTGCATTCAGATGTGGCCACGCAGTCTGCCTGTGTCTGCCGCAGTTGTGTTTGACTCTTTGTTCGATGCAGCTGCCTCTTGGGGAATTCAGCTGGCAGATTTCACTGCTGCTTCTGAGCTGCCATGTGGTTGCTTGGCTCTTGTATAGGCAGCCTGGGTGGCTGTGCCTGTGCCTTAGGGGCAGCAGTGGCTTCCAAAGGGTAGGGAAGTAACTCTCACCTGGCCTAATCACTTTGCTTTTTATATTTTCTCTCCAGTATTAGAGCCTTAGCAGCGTGGACACGTGACTGCTGCTGCTCAGCAAGGGCTGATTTCCAAGGTCACTGTCGCGAATGATCTGGCTTAGTGCCAGTGTCTTATCTGATTTCTGGAGCAAAGATAAAGGAAGTCCAGTGTTTCTGTTTTTTCAAAGGCCAGTAGTTGTAACAGGTCGATCAAGATCAGGGGCAAAATGTTAATCCGCTCAGATACTTTTTAAAGTAATGTGGGTGATGGAGACGGTAGGAAAGAGGTTGAAGTGATCTTTTAACTTTACATATCAAAACATAAATGATGTCGTACATAGGTTTTACTGTGGATCATGTGGTTTTGTATGCTAAGCAACCTGTTGTGTTAGTGACTAAAATGCTTCTTGAATTATTCATACTCCTGTTAGAGCACAGTGTGACGTTTCCCGTACCATTCATTCTGTAGTTTCCTAATCATTGGTGTCTATTTCTCAAGCACTTTCTCCTCCACAGAAGGGGTGGGAGAGCAGGTGTTTCCCTTCCTGACACTTGAGAGTAGATAAGTCCAGGTGAACAGGTGAAGGCACCTGCTCTGGTCACTGGTGGCAGGGGCAGGAGTGAAACCCAGACCACTGCCTTCACAATCCATTTTTTGTTTTTTTCTGCATTTGGAGGAGCTGGATTCATTTGCAGATTCCAGAGGCAAACAGATGGTAGAGGAGGCAACTGGCCTTCTGTGTCACAAAGCATCTGGGGTCATTTCCTCTCCAAGGCGGTGGTGCCATTGGACTTCCTGCTTCATGTCATGAGGTTTAGTCCATTGAGCCTTGGGTGTGGCAGTTGCCATTCTCAGCACCTGTATTAGTCCATTCTCACACTGCTGATAAAGACACACCGGAAACTGGGTAATTTATAAAGAAAAGGAGGTTTAATGGACTCACAGTTTCACGTAGCTGGGGAGCCCTCACAATCATGGCAGAAGGTGAAAGGCATGTCTTACATGGTGGCAGGCAAGAGAGAATGAGAGCCAAGTGAAAGGGGAAATTCCTAATAAAATCATCAGATGTTGTGAGACTTAATTCATTACCACGAGAACAGTATGGGGGAAATTGCCCCCATCATTCAATGCTGTCCTACCAGTTCCCTCCCACAACACTTGGGAATTATGGGAGCTACAATTCAAGATGAGATTTCGGTGGGGACACAGCCAAACCAAATCAGCACCTGTCTCAGGCTAGAGTATTGGAGGGCAGGAGGATCCTGATGGAGATAAAAATGGCCCGTCTCTGCCCTAATATATTAAATATATCAAAACAAAAGCCAGCCCACCCCAAAGCAAGTCATTAGGAAGCCTTGTACCTTAGTGGTGTAAGAACCTGGGCCATAGAGCCAGAAGGCCTGGGTTCTAATCCTGACCCACCACTTCCTACTGTGGCGATCTTGAACAAGGTACATGACCTTTCTGTGCTTCAGTTACCTCAGCTAGTGCCTCCCCCCAGGATTGTTGAGAATTACAGGAATGACTAGGTGTAATTCATATCTGGCCATGTAGTATTAACTATTAATATTATCGTTATTCCTGCTCTTGTTACCAACAGAACAGTAGTAGTAGTAAACGTAGTATAGCATCTTACCTGATATTTGTAGCATTTACTTGTGGCACATTTTGTCTCCTAGTGATGACACTGTCTTGCACCTCAGTTGAAAAATCCCAGCACTGCACAAGGGTGTGAAAAGCATTGGTCTCTCTAGTTGAGCTCTTTAACTGCACCATCTGATCTTTCCAGAGGCCTCAGTGTTGTCCCTGATGAAGAAGTCATTGAAATGTACGAGGGGTCCCACGTGCCCTTGGAGCAGATGAGCGACTTTTACGGAAAGGTAATGAGGAGCGCTTTATTCATTTAAAGTAGCCTTTTTCCTTCTTGAAACGTGGCCTTGTCGAACTTACCTACTGCTCCTATGGAATTGGCAGGAAATACGAGATTGCGTGTTGAGAGAGACTAGTGTGTGAAGGGGACACCCCCAGGTTCTTTCATGATCCTTTCTGAAGCCCTTCCTCCCCACCTGATGAAGGCTCTTTTCGCCTCCCACGTACCTACCCCATGTGCCACTCCATATCCAGGAATGTCCCTAGTTTCAGGGACAGATTGGGGCTGTCAGAGTGACAGCTACTGCTTCCCCTGACGGATGGCTGTGAATGCCAGAGATTGATGCTACACAGCCGCCCTTTTTGGCTTCAGGGGAACCTCTGCTTTTCTAACTTCTGTGGTTCTCTTTCCACTCAGAGTTTTTGCTTTTTGTCTTATTAGATGCATTCATGCACTTGCTTTGTCAAAATGAAATGGAAGATGCCCAGTCAGCTGGTAAACTTAGTACAGATGGTCCCCGACTTACAGTGATTCTTCTTAGAATTTTTTGACTTTACAATGGTGCAAAGCCATCGGCATTTCAACATAAATTACAGTATTCAGTAAATTATTTGAGACACTCAACACTTCATTATAAAATAGGCTTTGCAGAGGCTAATGGAAATGTTCTGCAAATGCTTACGATAGGCTAGCCTGAGCCATGATGTTCCGTAGGTTGGATGTAGAAATGCATCTTTGACTTACAGTGGGTTTATCGGGGTGTGGAGAGTCTATGGTATAAATTGCAAGCATTCAGAGAAAGGCTCTTTTTTAAGCTCAAATATGGGCCATGAGGGCGTGCTCCAGTTCGGGAGAGTTACATGAGTTTTTATGTCATTATGGGCAATAATTTGCTGGCTTTCCTCTGTGCTTCCTGAAAGAGTGTGAACTGGAAGTAGGACTGAGTACACGAGAAATCAGAAATCTGAGGGAAATCAGGATATTTCTGTCGATATCCTAGTTATACTTAGAGTGAGACATTAGCTCTGTTGTGAATGATAAGGAACAAAGGGAATGTTTTACTTTTTTTTTTTTTTTTTTTTTTTGAGATGGAGTTTTAGTCTTGTTGCCCAGGCTGGAGTGCAGTCATGCGATCTCCGTTCACTGCAACCTATACCTTCCGGGTTCAAGTGAGTCGGGCCTCCGCCACCATGCCCAGCAAATTTTTGTATTTTTAGTAGAGATAGGGTTTTGCGATGTTGTCCAGGCTGGTCTTAAACTCCTGACCTCAGGTGATCCACCTGCCTTGGTCTCCTAAGTGCTGGGATTACAGGCATGAGCCACCATGCCTGGCCCATTTTACTTTTTTATTATTAGAACTTTCCTGTTGTGTGGAGAGGGCTTTAAATGTTGATGATAGGAAACTCCCTTAGTGAAAAGTCTTCCTGCTGTTCCTGGTGCCTTCTGGCTCTGCCCCTGGCCTGGGCCCCTGTTTCTGAAGCAACCTTCCTCCTTGTCTGCAGAGCTCTCATGGAAACACGATGAAGCAGTTCATGGACATCTTCTCCCTGCCCGAGATGACCCTTCTGTCCTGTGTGAATGAATACTTCCTCAAGAACAACATTGATTACGAGCCTGTGCATCTGTACAAAGATGTCAAGGTTGTATCCACAGGGAGATCACAGTGCTGACTGAGTCTGTTTCAGCTGTTCAGTGGGAGTCACAGAGCCGTGAACTGCCTTTCTAGGTTAGGTGTTTTAAATAGTCTCTTAGCTGGCAACTCTTATATGCGGTTTAACCTTGAACCGTATATAAGAAAGATGTTGCTACATCAGGAGAATTGGAAATCAGTCAAGATTTTTGTTAAAACAAGATGGTGCTGAAACTGTTATCTCCATTTTTGATCCTTTCTTACCAGAAGGCCAAGGCCAAGGCTGGTACATTTGGCCAAAGGGATGAAGGGTATGGAAGTCCAGCCCATACGTACTCACCCCAGAGTCTTCCCGAGCAAGGGGGTGCTTCTTCTTCTTCTTCTTTTTTGAGACAGAGTCTTGTTCTGTCACCCAGGGTCGAGCGCAATGCACAATCTTGGCTCGCTGCAACCTCTGCCTCCCAGGTTCAAGTGATTCTCCTTCCTCAGCCTCCCAAGTGGCTGGGATTACAGGTGCCTGCCACCATGCCCAGCTGATTTTTGTGTTTTAGTAGAGATGAAATTTCGCCTTGTTGGCCAGGCTAGTCTCCAACTCCTAACCTCAATTGATCCGCCCACCTCAGCCTCCCAAACTGCTGGGATTACAGGCTTGACCCACTACCCCTGGCCAAGGTGCCTCTTCATCACACAGAGAGGTTACATTCAAGCTCTGTGCCAGTGTAGTTGCCCAGAGGGGATGCCTTTTTCCTTTGCCCGCAAAGATTCCATGTGGCTCTCTGAAGCCCTGCAAAAGCCATGCAGGAATCTAGTTGAGGGGCGACTGGTGGGGTAGGGGGATGTAGACAGATGTAAACGTTTACGTGCACATACGCAAAGCCCTCATTTAAAGTTGCCCATAGGTTCTTGGCAACTGTGACTTTTAATGAAACTATGTACAAGTCCTTGAATAATGCCAATTTCAGTGTCATTTTAATGTTGACAAGGAAAAAAGTTGATTTTGTTTTTTGTCATTTCACATAGAGTTGCAGTTTCTAAGAACCTGCTGAAGATGTTAAGTAAGGACTTACTGTACACATAATTTATATTTATAAATTTATTTATGTACTTTAACTTGTTATATTTACATGTTTATATATTTATATATGTTCTTTAAGCTGTATGAACTTTTTAATACTAAAAAAGTTTATATGTATTCGCATAGTCGTAAATATATGTGTTTTAAATTATATTTTTGTAAAGGTACGTGTTTACACACTAAAATATTTTTGTTATATGTATTTATAAGTAACTTTAAGTTTTGGCAGCCCTGAATCCTGGGTTTTAGGAAGATAGAGGATGAATTATAGTTTCTCAATATCAGTGTAATGTTACCTAAATTGAATTTAGATATTTAGTTTCTGTCCTTTTTGGGTGCACAGATACTTTGTCTTTAAAAATCTTGAAGAATCACTTGTAGTAGCCCTGTGCATTGGTAAGGTGAGATGTTGATTTGAAAGCTCAGTTTTTACTGCAGGTATTGCTACCACCAAGAGCAAATACTTGTGTAGAGTTTACTAGGTCCCAGGCACTGTTCTTATAGTGCTTTAGGCATGTTAACTTGCTAAATCTTCTTAATAATGCCTTGAGGTAGGCGCTATTCTTTATAGATAAGGACATGAGGCACAGTGAGGTTGAGTTACTTGCCCAAGGTCACCCAGCTGGTAAGTAGCAGAGCCTTGATTTTAAGTCAGGCAATCTGACTTGCATTTAACTACTGCCTTCTGCTGCTGGTATGAAATTGAATCAGGCTTGTGCTGAAAGGTTGAAATAGCAGTCCAGAAGGGGTCACCCTTAACAGAAATCTCCCAACAACAGTCTGAGTAAGGCGTAGGCACAGTGTTGGCTGCAGCACTGTCTCCTGTTCCTGGCTGCAGGAAGTTTCCATAGGCCTCAAGGAATGTCACCAGGTAGAGGCCCTGTGCAGTGTCACCTGCCAGCTGTCATGCTGCCACACTCCTGAACCCACAAAGGGTTTAACCACTTCCTTTTCCTCTTCCCTGGACCAGATCTCTGCCTGAGCTACGGCCTCACTGCCAGTTTGTTGCCCTACTGGTGGCACCAAAGAGAGGGGGGGAACCTGTTAGCTATTTATCTCTGCCTCTCATTCTGTGTTATAGAATTTGCTGCTGGGGTCTAGGGGCGGAAAGAGTACAAAGATAAAAGAGCAAGAACTCCCTTTGTCCAGACGGCTTGGAATCATTTGCTCACAATACTGTATAGAAATTACTGTCTATCATGGGGACTTTATTCAGAATTATTCACAGAAATGACCTCTCCCAAGCACTCTTTTGAAAATTGCCACCATCACCATGGAAGCTTTTGCTTTTCACAAGGGGCTGCCTATGAAAATGGACCAGAATTGGCCAGGTGTGGTGGCTCACGCCTGCAATCCCTGCACTTTGGGACGCCGAGGCAGGCGGATCACTTGAGCCCAGGAGTTTGAGACCAGCCTGGCCAGCATGGTGAAACCCCGTACTGTTACTCAAACTCTCAGTTGTATTTTCACTGATTAAAAATGTATCTTTTGGCAGGATTCAATTCGAGATGTCCACATCAAAGGAATAATGTACAGAGCAATTGAAGCAGACATTGGTATGTGCTCAGCATTATCACGGAGAGATTTGCAGCCTGTTTCTTGTGCAACCATACCGGCATTTTACTTTGCATTCCAGGTGCTAAGCAGGGGCTGCATGAGTGCTCTGTAAGGACCTGGCATCCTGGCATGTTGGCCGTCTCCTCTTTGTCCTGGGACTTGACGTAATCCTGACTTAAAAGGAGAGGCACTGGCCGCTATAGCTGTTCAGTTGTTTCCACCTAGACTGAAGAGACAGGGTCTTTGTGACTGATGCACCAGATATACCCATGTTCCACTGAACAAAGCTGCTTTAAGGCTTTTCTTCCCTCTCCTGTGCCTAGGAGTGCTGGGCCCATACCCCCATTTAGAAAGTACTTGCAGGTTGACCAACATCATGCTGAATCTGTGTGTGAATTTTTCTCTTGCCCTTAGAAAAGTACATCTGCTATGCTGAGCAGACCCGCGCAGTGTTGGCCAAACTGGCTGATCATGGCAAGAAGATGTTTCTCATCACCAATAGCCCCAGTAGCTTTGTGTAAGTTGCTCTCTGTTTCATTGCTAGCTTCTGGCACACTCTTTATGTCCTGTTTGTTTTAGCCGTTGGAAAGAAAAAGTTACAAACATAGTTAATTCCTTATATGTTAGACTAACCTGGCTGACTTGTTGCCCTAGGGACAAAGGGATGAGGTATATCGTTGGGAAAGACTGGAGGGACCTGTTCGATGTGGTCATTGTTCAGGCTGAGAAGCCAAACTTCTTTAATGACAAACGGAGGTGAGTGTCTACTTTTCTAGGGCACTAGATTTTTTTATTCCTTTCCTGCTGTGAATATACAGACGGTGTGTCTTGGTAAAATCCAGTTGCAAAATCATAAGCATGGGAGATTATAGCTTTTGAGTTTTAACTCTTCTAGCAAGTAATTCCAAGGAGGGTGACATGAGTATATAACAGACAGTTTGCATACATTGAAATGGTTCTCAGTTCAACTTGGGCTGCTTCAAACTCGTGAATAGGCTTGAAGAAAATGATTGGCAGTGATGAAAAAGCCACACTTAATATCATATAGTAAATTAGATCTTTAAATGTGGACACATTGTGGGGCATAAGAAAACAACAGCAACAACAAAGCTGCCTGTTGGGTGGCTCTTTAAATAGAGCTCTCATTGGTGCATTTAAAATTGCAGTTGGATTTTGCAGAGCTTCTCTGCAACACAGATTTTGTATCGCTATTATGTCTTAATGTCTTCCTGCCACTGTAGCCATGGGAATGGGGAAGCAGGGACGTTTCAGATTGTGACAGGGACAGGGTGTGCTGTTAGTATTGAGTGGGTAGGGATCAGGGAATGCTAAAATATCTTCTAATGTGTGGGACAGGCCTGTACACCAAGAGTTGTTCCCTGCAAATGTCCATAGTGTTGAGAATCACTGCAGTAGGGTTCTAAAAAAAAAAAAAAAAAAAAAACTCATATTTGTATGATAATGGCCAGTTTTTGAAACAGTTTTGCCCCCATGTTTATTCTGTAGCTGGTAAGCAGGTATTTAAAGCATCAGACTGTGGTACCCTTCAGTTAGTGCTTTAAATTCGGCTTGTCCCAGTTTTCCGAGTGTCACAGTGACTCCAGGAAGGAGAGGCAAATCAAGAGCCATGTGCAGGGACTGAAACATGCTGGGTGGGATTCAAGAAAATGAAGGAAAAACTAGAGTGTGATGAAAAACAGCTGTAAACTATGGCTTGCTGCTTTGTCACTATTTTTTCCCACTGACTGGCGACTGGAGTTATCCCAAAGACAGTGGTAAGGGTGTTCCTACATGGGACAGCCCCAAACCGTCCCGTGATGGGTCTGGTTGGGATTCCAAAGAAAGAAGCACTAAATGCTAGGGCGATCAGTCCAAAGTGGTTATTAGAGGCACGGACTTACAGGGTAGGCTGTGGCGTATCCTTTGGCACAATGGTCCCCAACTTTTTTGGCACCAGGGACCGGTTTTATGGAAGACAATTTTTCCACCAGGTTTGGGGGGGGTGGGGTGATAGTTTCAGGATGTAACTGTTCCACCTGAGATCATCAGGCATTAGATTCTGATAAGGAGCACACAACTTAGCTCCCTTGCTTGCACAGTTCACAATAGGGTTCCACTCCTATGAGAATGTAATGCTGCTGCTGATTTGCCAGGAGGTGGAGCTCAGGTGGTAATGCTCTCTTGCCCACTGGACGCTCGCCTTCTGCTGTGCGGCTCGGTTCCTAATGGACCGTGGACTGGTTTGGGTCTAGTATCTGCAGCCCAGGGTTCAGGGACCCCTGCTCTGTCAGACAGGAGAGAAAGGGATGTTCTGCCTCGGTGTGTCCGCCAGCAGGGGGTCAGGATGTGGAGTTTATTAGAAGGTTTAAGGAATTTGGCTCCAGGCCAGGCTGGTTTCTTCCAGGGTCTTGGGAAGCAACATCAACACCTTTATCAGTGCCTGGGAGTGTGGAAGCACCCAGAGGAAAACATGCACCTCACTGGGTCAGAGTGGTCAAAGGCACTCCTTCTAGGGAAGAAGTGGGGAAGGTTGGGGACCCTACAGTCACTGATTCGATGCCCTCACCATTTTCTTAGTAGATTCTAGGGTGTGGTCAGGAGAAGGGCCCTGACTTTTCACCAGAGAGCTCCTCTGCTTTGTCATATTTATAAAAAGTGAGGGGGCATAGTCGGGGACTCTTTTCCCTGGATGGGGGAGCAGGATGTCTCAGCCCCCTCCCTCCAACAACTATTTTGTCCTTGTTCTGGAAGCCTAGGATAAGAGCTGAATAATTCTCCATCTGTATTCATCCTTGTGTTATTTATAATAATGAAAGGTCAGAAACAGCCTGACAGCCCTACAGTAGGGGACGCCTAGTTAAATTTGGAATAGCCATATGAGGGGGTGTTATGCAGTCATTAAAAATGATTTATTTGGGCCAGGTGCTGTCATTCACACCTATAATCCCAGCACTTTGGGAGGCTGAGGCCAGAGGCTTCCTTGAGCCCAGGGGTTTGAGACCACCCAGGGCAACATAGGGAGACCTTGTCTCTACAAATAATTTAAAAATTAGCTGGTCATATCTGTGATCCCTGCAGTTTGGGAGGCCGAGGCCGGCAGATCACCTGAAATCAGGAGTTCAAGACCAGCCTGGCCAACATGGTGAAATTCCATCTTTACTAAAAATACAAAAATTAGCTGGGTGTAGTGGCACCTGCCTGTAATCCCAGCTACTCAGGAGGCTAAGGCAGGAGAATCGTTTGAACCCAGAAGGTGGAGGTTGCAGTGAGCCGAGATTGCACCACTGCACTCTAGCCTGGGTGACAGAGTGAGACTCTCTCTCAAAAAAAAAAAAAAGAACCAAAAAAAATTAGCCAGGTATGGTGGTGCATGCGTGTAGTCCCAGCTATTCAAGAGACTCAGGTGGGAGTGTCACGTGAGCCCGGGAGGTCGAGACTGTAGTGAGCCGTGATTGTGCCCTGCACTTCAGCCTGGGCAACAGAGTAAGACCCTCTCTCCTAAATAAATAAGTAAATAAATATTTGGGAAAAAAAATAAAGATGTTTTACTACTGTAAAACATGATGTATTTAAGAATATGTAATCACTTGTGAAATTGCTCACAATATTAGAGAAAATGGATATAAATTAGTATACACAAAGTGATCCTCATTCTGCATTGTGATTAGGCAAAAAATTATCTTTTTTTTTTTGGTACCACTTATTTTTACCTTAAGGCAAACAAACTCTGGGTCCTTTGGGCTAGCACCCTCAAGGTGAAGAATGAGGCATCATCCTTACTTCTCAATTTCCATCATAAACTAGTGCTTCTGGTCTTCTGATTTGTTTTTTATCTAGAGTGGCTTAATTTCAGATATAAAGCCAGATAAATATACTAAGGCAGTATTTCCATAAACTTTTCTTTATAAACAGGTTTTCTGAGTGGTCAAATAGATCGGGGAAATCTGGGTGAAAGAAAGTTTATTACAGCAGGGCTTTTCAGAGCCATCAATAACTTTTTAAGAGGAACATATTTAATGCATGGTATTTTCCAAATTTATATGACCCTGGAATTTTATTTATTTTTTTGAGATGGAATTACTCTTGTTGCCCAGGCTGAAGTGCAGTGGCGCAGTCTCTGCTCACTGCAACCTCTGCCTCCTGGGTTCAAGCCATTCTCCTGCCTCAGCCTCTGGAGTAGCTCGAATTATAGGTGCCGGCCACCATGCTTGCAGTGTTTGTGTTTTTAGTGGAGATGGGGTTTCATCATGTTGGCCAGGCAGGTCTTGACCTAACCTCAGGTGATCCACCTGCCTTGGCCTCCCAGAGTGCTGGGATTACAGGTGTGAGCTACTGTGCCTGGCACCCTGGAATTCTTTTCTTCATGAAACATCTTTGGATGGTGGGCTTCACACAGTTTGGAATGTATTGAATTAGGCCAGGGAATGTGGTGGTAGAGTTTCAGTTTCCGATTTTTTTTGGGTTTTTGCAGGGAGCTACTTCCTGTGATCGTGAGTAACTTTAGTATTTCATAGAGAGTGGATTGCCCGTACTACGCCATGTCATAATGTTCCCCGTTTTTCTTGATAGGCCTTTCCGAAAGATGAATGAGAAAGGTGTCTTACTCTGGGATAAAATTCACAAGTTGCAGAAAGGCCAGATTTATAAGCAGGTATCTCATGACCAGCTTCTCCTTTTTGTTGCTTTGCTTTGTGGTCGGTAATAATGCTAACAGCTGATGTTCATTGTGGCTTACTATGTGCCTGGCACAGTTCTGAGTGATTCCCATGAACTGACTGACTATAACTTGGTGGTAAACTTAGGTTTAAGTCAATATCTTTTCAATATGCTAGTATCTAAACTAACTCAAAATTGAACAGTTTTTTAAAACAAAAATTTTAAGGCATTACTTTCATAGTGTATGACATTTAAGTTGCCAGTGGTAAAAATTGGAAATTTCTCTTTAAGGAACACTGACTCATGGCATATTATTCACTCAGATTATTATTTTCTGACAAAACATGTTTTGTACACAGTTTTGTGGGGAATTTTTTTTAGACAGAATCTTGCTCTGTCACCAGGCTGGAATGCAGTGGCGCCATCTTGGCTCACTGCAACCTCCATCTCCCTGGTTCAAGTGATTCTCCTGCCCCAGCCTCCCGAGTAGCTGGTATTACAGGTGCCTGCCACCACGCCCAGCTAATTTTTGTATTTTTAGAAGAGACCAGGTTTCACCACGTTGCCCAGGATGCTCTTGATCTTCTGCTCTCGTGATCCGCCCACCGCAGCCTCCCAGAGTGTTGAGATTTATAGGCGTGAGCCACCATGCCTGGCTTTTTTGTTTTTTCCAGTTTGTATTGAGACAAGGTCTCGCCCAGTCGCCCAGACTGGAGTGTAGTGGCATGAACATCACTCACTGTGGCCTCAACCTCCTGGGCTCAAGCGGTTCTCCCACCTCAGCCTCTCAAGTGGCTGGGATCACAGGCATCCACCACCATGCCCAGCTAAATTTTAATTTTGATTGTTTTGTAGAGACAGGTTCTTGCCATGTTGCCCAAGCTGGTCTTGAACTCTTGGGCTCAAGCAGTCCTCCCACCTTGGCCTCCCAAAGTGCTGGGATTACAGGCATGAGCCATCACACCTGACCTGTGCACAGTTTTAATGTATTTTGGTGTCATAAGAGGCTTTCAAATGTTTGAATGAATTTGGTTGCTGACCATTCTTATGTTACTAAGGTTCATTTTAAACAATATTAATACATTCTTGATGGGTATATAACAATGTGCTGGATTTGGCAATATGAGTATATTTTCAAGGCCTTGAGAAAAACAGCTTTGATAGAGCCATTTTACTTCTAGGAAGTTAGCCTAAGAAAAGTATTAAGATATAGCTAATACAACTCGGCTATGAGAATGTTTATCATGAAGTTTCTTACAAAATAGATAATGTAAACTGTACAACATCAGGGAGTTGGTGAAATGAATCATGGTACTTCCTAGCTGCTGTCCTCACCTGGTAGGTTAGTATTTATTGACATGGAAAGATGACTACAGCGTGTTAAGTGTAGAAAGGTAGTTACGAAGAAGTGTATACAATATGAATCTTTCTTGAACAGCGTGTTTGACGTAGAGGAAAGATAAAAAAATAAAAGCACTTCCCATGGAAGTGCTTTTATTTTTATATTTTGATATTTAAAATAAGTTATAAAAACAAAAACAATTTTTAAAAGTTTTTAAAAAAATATTTTGTACCGTGGGTGAGACAGGCTATCTAGTGTAATAACTATAGTTTTCTCTGATTGCAGGGTAATTTATATGAGTTTTTGAAGCTTACTGGATGGAGAGGATCCAGAGTGTTGTATTTTGGTGACCATATATACAGTGACTTGGCGGTGAGGGGCCCTTTTTTCCTTTGTTGGGGGACAGATGTGTTAGTCTCACTTGTTAAAGAACGTATCTTTTATTTAAGGCCATCTTTATGCTTTCATAAAACCTAGAAGTAGGCTGCATTTTTTAAATGTCTCATTTCTTTTTACAGAACAGGATGGATCATAGCTGTGGAAAAGATAAATATTTTTTTGGAAATGATGGGAATAAACAGTTCACCCAAAGAGTTTATCAGAATAGTCTTTCCATTTAAATATTAAGAAATAAATGCCATTGCTCTTTTTCCTTTTATCAATGCATCAAAAAACATAAAGTCCACCTTTGAAAGTTTGCCACCATTGGGAATATTGAAAAGAACGTGGTGTAGGTTTTCATGTATGACAGGAGAAAGAAATATTCAAAGTCTTCAAGAAACTGAATCAGTGGGCTGGGCGCAGTGGCTCACACCTGTAATTCTAGCACTTTGGGAGGTCGAGGCAGGTGGATTACTTGAGCTCAGGAGTTCGAGACCAGCCTGGGCAACACTGTGAAACTCTGTCTCTACTAAAAATACAAAAATTAGCTGGCATGGTGGCACATACCTGTAATCCCAGCTAGTGGGGAGGCTGAGACAGGAGAATCACTTGAACCTGAGAGGCAGAAACTGCAGTGAGCTGAGATTGTGTCATTGCACTCCAGCCCATGTAACATAGTTGAGACCCTGTTTCAAAAAAAAAAACAAAAACAAAAACAAAAAAAACAGAAAAGAAATTTTGAACCAGTGAAGAAGATGGGCATCCTCAGCCCTCTTATGCCCTTACATAGGGTTTAGGATTCTAGCTTTAGGTGAGTAGCCAGACTGAGCCTTTAAAACTGCAAATCAGATACCACTTCTTCCCTTAAAACCCGAAAGCCTTTCTTTCTCCCTCAGAGTAAAAGCCTGAGTTCCCATGGTTGCGCCCTGGATTCCTATGGTTGCCCAGTGGATTTCCCCTTCCTCAGCCCACTTCTGTGAAGATACCCTCTGCCTCTGCCTTCTCTTTTGTCTCCTGTAGGTTCCCTGACTTGTTGATTCTTAACATGCCACCCTCCAGCATGTTCCTGCCCCGGGGCCTTTGCACTTGCTGTTCTTCAGCCAGAATCTCCCTGCTCCCACATATTCACATACTCTCCCCCACCTTGTCCATGTATTAGTCTGGTCTTCCTAACTACCCTGTATAAAATGCAAACCTCCTTGCTTCCTGTCCTTTTCCTGTTATTCTGCTTGATTTTTGTCCCTTGTACTTATCCCCACCTGCCATTGTGTATTTTACTTGCTTATTTGTTGTCTGTAATTTTCATGAGGGCTGGGAACAAAAAACTGAGAAGTTTTTTGTTCATTGTTTTATCTTCAGTATTTAGGGCCTGACAGATAGTATTGCTTGATGAGTATTTGCCAAATGGGAAAATGACCATTTAGTGTGATGTGTCTTAGATTTTCCAGGACATAGCTGATACTAGATATTCTGGCCTGTTAAATAGGGGGTTACAACATTTGGAATGGAAATTTTGATCATGCATGCTGATGTTGTATGTGATCATTCCAAGTCTGAGATTCCATGGTTCTCCATAACCCAGAGGGCCTGGCACACAGAGGTCTGTGGATGAATTGAATGAAGACCTTTGGTAGCAGTTAGGTCAAGCCCCTTTCCGCCCCTGACCTTTTTTTTTTTTTTTTTTTTTTCTTCTTTGGTGAGATGGCTGTTCAGGTCTTTTGTTTCCTTCCTTCCTTATCTCTTTCTCTCTTTCTTTCTCTTTTTTTTCCTTTTTTTTAAAGAGACCACAGTTAATGATTCCAGACCTGGTGTTTTGGCAGGGGATATGACTCACGGCAATTATTTCCAGAACAGAAACTTTCTTGGAATGAAATGATCAAAGGCTGGGGCCAAATTAGTTTTAATTAAATGTAATTCATTGAATTCAACTTGGTTAATAACTAACCATTACCATCAAAAAGTCATTAAATGAATGCCTCTCATGTCTGGGAAAATAATGACATAGTGTAGATTCTGTTGAGACTGATGTTGACTTTTCGTGATCTCTGTGATCAGGATTTGACCCTGAAGCACGGCTGGAGGACTGGTGCAATCATCCCAGAGTTGAGATCTGAGCTCAGAATCATGAACACGGAGCAGTACATTCAAACCGTGGCCTGGCTGCAGACCTTGACTGGGTTATTGGAACAGATGCAGGTTGGGATTTTTTTTTTTTTTCCTTCTGTTTCTCTCAGCCTGAGGTTACAAAGTTGCTTCTGGTATTTTCTGCTTAATGGTTATAAAGTATGAGGCTTAAGTTGTTTTCAGTAGACTGTGGAATAATGACTGGGGTTCTTTTGCTTAGAGTCTTTGTGGGGCCTGTGTAAATACAGGTGTTTGCTCACATTCCTCTGTCAGTGAAGATCCACTGTGCTCACTTCCACACTGAAGCCTGTGGGGAGCTCTTCTGTGGGGTACTGGGATTCAGGAAGCCCTGCCAGTGCTTGAGTCTGTGCTGGTTTTGCCTGCACCTGCCACGGTGGGACTTCTCCATTCTGGGCCTCAGTTTCCCCATCTGTGACATAAAGGGCCCTGTGGATGGAACACTTCAGTCTAGGCCCCATGGCTTACTGGAGAGAGTCTCAAAGCAAGAGTCAAGATCCTGGGGTCCAGCCTCAGTTGATTTTGAGGATAATACCTGCAGTTTGCTGGCTTACTGGAGTTCCCTGGCAGTTACTTCCTTGTGTTAAGTTAGGCAGCCAGCTTTGGCTGGTTAGTGAGGAATGGCAGTTTTATCAGTCATTTCCTGGCCCATGGAAACTGCCTCTCTTTTGCTGCTCTATCCCCTTAATTCTCCATGTGCCCCTTTCCTTTCCAGTTCCTTGAGGCACCTTGCTTTCTCCCTGGGCCCAGCTTGCCTGGGCTGCAGCCATCTCAGCATGGGTGCTGACATTTTTAGGATAAGGGCACAGATGCTTGCCCTCTTGGCGAACACACCTGCAACCTGTGGCCTGTTGCCCATGCCTGCCCTCTGGCTTTGGAAATGGGCAGGGAACTGCCTTGCCTGCCCCAGCTGGCACTCCGTGTGGGGGTGGCTGAGCAGTGAGATCAGGCAGGGCTGTGAGTGGCAGGCCAGATTCTGGCTCCAGGTGCATGCATTCCAGAGCACGGGGCCCTGCACGTCCCCCTAGGCCTTGTTTCCAGAATGCACTGGGCTCCATTAGTTCTTGGCTCTTCTCCGATGAGGATTTATTGTTTCCCTTGCTATGCTTGTCTGTGAGATGATTTTCTAAAAATATATGGCATCAGTTCTGACTTAATGTAGTTTAGAGTCTGTGTTTGTATGTCATACACTACTAATAGTTACTTTTTATGTGCCAGGCACTGTGCTGAGTGCTGGCTTTATAGACATTGCTCATTTAGCTGTCCCATGCTGGTAGGTACCATTTTCCCATTTTAGAATAAGGAAACAGGTTTTGAGAGGTCAGGTACCATTTATGCCTGAGATCGTAAAATGACAGGGCAAGGCTTGAACCGAGGCCTATGTGGGCCCCAGGTCCATGCTTTGGAGCACTGCTCTAATGTGCTTCCCTGGTTAGAGGGCTGGGGTGTAGGCAAGGACTTGACACCCTCAGTGAAGTCTCTGTGACTCCGGCAGCTGGTCATATGTACACACACAGCTGCACGTAGATGGCATCACTGCATGCTAGCTTTGGTAACAGTTTTTTGGGGGGGTTTCCTTTTGTTTTTGTGACCTGTGTAAAAAGTTGATGAAAGTATGTATGTTTTAGAGAATGGAAGTGCTGGAAGTATTTCTGTGATTTGTAAAATTAGTTATACAAGGCATAGGGTGAGGGAAGGAAGAAAAGGGAATGAATGTTTACATAGCCAACGCGATTTCACAGGAGAGAAAACAGACTGCGAGATATGTAACTTTTCTAGAGTCACGGTTCTCGGCTGGCAGAATCAGGCTGTGTAGGAATGTCCTAAGAACTTACTGTGTTCTGGACACCGTGACCTTTAAGTTTGTTTCATTTTCACAGTAACTCTTTGAAGTAGGTCCTGAAACATCACTCCCATTTTATTGATGAAGACCCTGGGGAACAGAGGAGCTATAATTGTCTAGGGAGGGGTGATGCTGGCGTTTACACAGTGGCAGCCCGACTCTGGAACTGTAAGCTCCACGCACGCACCTATGTTGCCTTGGGTTCTGGCACTTTGTAGAGAGTTCTTTCAAGTTGGACTCGCTATAGAGGTGTGTAGCTGCTAACTAAAGAAACATCTGCATAAATGTCCTAGCTCACTGTCTCCCTCTTCCTCAGTGTTCCTTCAGAAATACAAGGTATTCCACTGAGCCTGTGGCAGATGTTTCTAGAACTCCCCCTTGGGGATTGTTTTCAGAGCATGTAGCACATTATTTGGACAGTTTTCTGAGGAGAAAAATTGGTCCTCTGAGATTGGGTTTGATTTTTTCAGAGCTAGCAGAGTGTCATTTGTTTGATGTTTTTTTTTCCCTTTTGAGACGGAGTCTTGCTCTGTTGCCCAGGCTAGAGTGCAGTGGCGTGATGTTGGCTCATTGCAGCCTCTACCTCCCAGGTTCAAGCGATTCTCCTCTCTCAGCCTCCCAAGTAGCTGGGACTATAGGTGTGTGCCACCACATCCAGCTAATTTTGTATTTTTAGTAGAGACAGGGTTTCACCATGTTGGCCAGGCTGGTCTTGAACTCCTGACCTCACAGAGTGTCATTTGGAGGCAAGTCTAATGAATGAGATAAAAGTCCATAAATTTTGGTTGTGATTTGGTTAGCTAGCCTTGAGGTGCATTCCAAAATGGCTGTGGTTCATGGTGGTGGTGCTGGCATTGGTAGACACTTCTCAGGTGACCAATCAGTCAGAGGCCACATTTTGACCACGGTTCAGCAAGCTTCTGCAAAGGGCCACATGGTAAATATTTTAAGCTGTGCAGGCTCAGGTAACCAACCAGTCAGAGGCCACATTTAGACCACGGGTCAGCAAGCTTCTGCAGAGGGCCACGTGGTAAATATTTTAGGCTGTGCAGGCTGTAGGTTCTGTTGCAGCTACTCACCTCTGCACTTGGAACACAAAAGCAGCCGTGGACAATATGTGAATGAATGGTTGTAACTGTGTCCCAGTGAGCTTTATTGGTGGGTGCTGAAATCTGATTTTCATCTAATTTTTACATGTCATGAATGTCATTCTTTTTCTTTTGAGACAGTCTTGCTCTGTTGCCCAGGCTGGAGTGCAGTGGTGTGATCTCGGCTCACTGCAGCCTCCGCCTCCCGGGCTCAAGTGATACTCATGCCTCAGCCTCCTGAGTAGCTGGAATTACAGGTGTGCACCACCATGCCCAGCCAATTTTTGTATTTTTGGAGAAGTGGGGTTTCACCATGTTATCCAACCTGGTCTTGAACTCCTGGTCTCAAGTGATCCACCTGCCTCAACCTCCCCAAATGCTGGGATTACAGACATGAGCTACCACACCTGGCCTGTCATAAAATTATTCTTCTTTTGATTGTTTTTCCCCCAACCATTGAAAAAGAAAAACCCATTTGTGAGCTCATAGTTGATAGAAAAATGGGCCAGTGGCTGGACTGATGTAGGCTGTTGCACTGGCTAGATTGTAATATCTTTCTCAAGCAAGGGCAGGGATACGCAGCCAATCCGTTTTGCCGTGAAGAGCTGATTACGCCCATCAATAACCACTGGAGGTGGAAGTGGCTGACGTGCCTGGAGGATCATTTTCTGTGGGGCTTTGGTTAGTCTTTTCCAGTGTTAACGACCCACTCTAGAGTGCATGGTTTCACTTGAAAGATTAGTGGTAACTAATGAAGACACACTGTCTTTGAAATACTTTAAAGTGGATTTCAGAGCCAGAAGCTCTTGTTTTATGGAGTTTGACCTTGTAGGGGGACGCAGCTGGAGAAGTGGGTGGGCACAGGGAGAAATCTTTTTTTTTAATGGGAGAGACTCGAGCATGTTTGACGGCTGATGGGAAGGATGCAGGTGAGAGGATTGTTCCTATGAGAGAGGTGACAAATGGTGGGAGAGGTTCATGGCAGGACAGCCGGGAGGGCGCCCCAGGCAGCTGCTGGGTGCTCCGTGGGAGGTAAGGCCTGAAGGGCGGCTGAGTGAAGGAGGCATTCAGGGTCCCTTTCCGGGCATGCATCCCTGGCCTCCAATTCCTGGGGCCTTTTTCCCTTGCATGTCCCTTCAGCAGCCTCGGGGTTCAGAGTCAAGCTGTTGAACTGAGCAGATGTGATAAACAGAAGGTTCTTTGCCCCCATGTCAAAAGCAGATAGTTTGCTAGCTTGGTATTTTCCTACAGGTTCACCCTGTGGTCATGTATTGCAGGGAGCTCACCTGTTGCCTGAGATCATGTGCACCTTGGATTCTGGCCTCAGTGTTTCTGTTTAGCCACAAAAACCTTGGAGGGAGACTTGTGAGATTCCATGTGTTAGATCATGGGCAATTGGCATTTTCTTTTGGCCTTTCACTCATATTTCGGCCCACCAGAAAATGCTCTGCTTTTCTTCTCATTGAGGTGCTTTACCTTCTTGCCTTTTGCAGAATATTAAATTAAAAAGTTTAATTCGTTTATAATCCTACTGCCCTTGCACAAATTAAAACAAATTTTTATGTTAATTTCCAAATGCAAGCACATACTTTGACACTTGCAGGTAGTGGGTATATATGCTGTTTCCACTTAATAATGTTTGTACACATGTATATAATATGTGTAATAGGTAATATATACTAGGTATATGTACATTACAGTTTGTACACATGTATATATCACCTACATGTTTTATGCATATGTGGATACATGCATGCATTATGTTTATATGTAGTCTTTTACTCATAATTTAATAACTTCATAATATTTCATCTTAATTTGTTACCACATTTCTAATGTTGGACATTGAAAACTATTTTTTATAAATGAAGACGGCAGGTGTCATCTGGAAAGTCTGAAAAATGTATTATTTCATGCAGGTGCCGACCTTTGAGATGTAAAGGAATAAAATTTCTCCTAGAAAAGGTGCTAATTAAAAAAATATTCTCATTACCTAATGAACTTATTTGAAATCAAAACAGTTGTAATAATTAGCTTGCATCTTGCAGGTTCACAGAGATGCTGAGTCACAGCTGGTTTTGCAGGAGTGGAAAAAGGAAAGGAAGGAGATGAGGTAAGAGTGGCCTGTGTTGAATGTGGCGAGTCCACCACCCTGTTCAGCTGTGCTGGGCCTACACATGTACCCCAAGGCCAGCCTGAGGCATAATCTTGAAACAGCCTTTTTTTAGCTCCCAGGTGTGTCTGTCTCCCCCAGGATTCAGAATCAGCTACCTGCTGTTGGTGACATGTGACATTTCCTTGAGGCCAGCTATCACCCCTGTTATTTCTCTGCCCTTGCCGTTGAAGGCCTTGGGAGAAGGGAGCCTTTTCGTCTCATGCATCCTCCCTGCCCGCCTGACCTTCCCGTCTGGGCAGCTGGTAGCTCAGCTGTTAATAATGCTGGCAGCACAATGTGGCTGTCGGGGCAGCGCTGGATTTGGGCTCTGAACCCACAGTGAATTCTTAGGGCTCCTAGACCCTGGTGCTTATTTGTAACCACAACTATTGCAAGAATGTGCCATCTTACTGGTAAAGAAAGCCTGTCTGCTGTGAGAAAAGTCTGGTGGGTATCTGTCTTAAGGGAACCCCGACTGACAATCATGCCTCCCTAGGCGGATGCTTTCTATGTTGACACCATTTGCATGAACTTTTCTGACTTTGCACATGGCCTTTTCCAGCCGCTAGCTACAGCTGTCTCTGAGTCTTGGAAACAGTGGTTGCTGTGGGATTCTGGCCTCTCAGTAGTGGGCAGCCTGACCTGAGGTTGCATGTGGTGGTGTGCGTGGGTGGGGACAGGGCGTGGAAAGGGGACAATGAGTCCATTCCTCAGAGTCTGCAGAAGCCAGGGCTGTATTGCATTTAGTTCGTCCTCCTAACTCTCAGGGTGTTGGCTGTCTTGAGTCTTATTCTAACTGCTACCAACTAGTGGCTTTTATCACACAGTTGTGTAAATGACTATATTTTTTGCTGTGTTGGTAAATGACTTATTAACAGTCAAATAGTATTCCTTCGTTTTGCTGGAATACTCTATATGTAGGGTCCCAGCCATCAGAGAGTGTGCGTATCCTGTATACACAGGATAAGGATGTTGATAAAGACATACATGCACATAAGGATGACTACAGGGGCTTATGGTTCTTGAACAGGGTGAGCAGCCTCACCTGCGAGGAGGCCGGGAGGCCCTGAAGTGTGTAATGGATGGAGGACATTTATATCACATAAAACAATCCTTAATTCCTCAGACAGCTGAGCACTTGAGAGTTTACAACATGCTTTTATTCTGCTTACCTTAGTTCTCACAATAACCTTGTAGAACAGGGGATCTTGATCCTTTCTGTAAGGGAAGTTGAGACTCCTGAGAACATTCTGTATTCCTCTGTGTACTGTCGGGAGCAGCTGCTGCATCCCATGTTTAGGTTTGGGAGATGGAGCGTGTGTATGTAGAGAAGTGTGCACAAGAATCTGGAGCCTTGAGACAGTTAAGAGGGAAATGTGACCAGAATCATTTTCATGGATGGATAGATACGCTGACTGACTGACTGGCTGACTTACTTCCTCCCCTCCCCTCCCCTCCCCTCCCCTCCTCGCCTCCCATCCCTCTTTTTTTCTTTTTCTTTCTTTCTTGAGATAGGGTCTCATTCTGTCACCCAGGCTGGAGTGCAATGCACAGCTCTCCGCAGCCTCAACCACCCAGGCTCAAGCGATTCTCCTACCTCACCCTCCTGAGTAGCTAGAACTATAGACACATGCCATCATGCCTGGCCAATTTCTTTGCATTTTTCTAGAGATAAGGTCTCACAAAGTTGCCCATGCTGATGGTCTAGGGTTCAAGTCCACCTGCCATGCCTGGCCCGGACTGTTTTTGTTTTTGTGTTTTTGAGATGGAGTCTGGCTCTGTCGCCCATGCTGGAGTGCAATGGCACAATCTCTGCTCACTGCACCCTTCACCTCCCTGGTTCAAGCGATTCTCGTGCCTCAGCCTCCTGGGTAGCTGGGATTATAGGCCTGGCTACTTTTTGTATTTTTAGTGGAGACGGGGTTTCACCATGTTGGCCAGGCTGGTCTCGAATCCTGGTCTCAAGTGATCTGCCTGCCTCAGCCTCCTAAAGTGCTGGGATTACAGATACGAGCCACCGCACCTGGTCCTAGACAGTTTCCTTAATTAGAATTTGGGGCTGTTCTAGGCTAACTTTTTTCTCAAATGAGTCTTTTTTTTTTTTTTTTTATGATTTTTTTAGTTTAAAAACAAGCCTTTTTGAATCATTCTCTGTTGCTTTGCTTTTTTATTGCCCCTTCAGAGAAATGACCAAGAGCTTCTTCAACGCCCAGTTTGGAAGCCTGTTCCGCACAGACCAGAACCCAACCTACTTCCTGAGGCGCCTGTCGCGCTTCGCTGACATCTACATGGCGTCCCTGAGCTGCCTTCTGAACTATGACGTCAGCCACACTTTCTACCCTCGGAGGACTCCACTGCAGCACGAACTGCCCGCCAGGTCGGAAAGGCCCCCCACCTTCGGAGCCCCTCTCCTGCAGGAGGCCCAGGCCAAGTAGCTGAGGGCCCCCTGGGGCAAAAGCCAGAAACTGACGGCCCCTGATTGGCAGGCATGACGGGGTTGATGCCATGTGAGTCTGAGTGTTGCTTTTGGAAAAGATACAGATATGCCTTTTGATATTTATTTTGTACCTTATGGAGAATAATTCTCCCAATGGTTAAGATGGGAGCTAGCTGCCGACCCCTCTGGCCTTCCCCGCCATGCAGGGCTGAAAAGCAAGCTTCACATTGGAACTCTAATTTCACCTTTTTGTTTACGAAGGTCATGAAACTGACGTCAGGTTTTCTGGGATGGGCGAGACCACTGGATGCCATCTCTGCATTCCAGCAGGTCAAGCTTGAAATGCTTCTTGACTCCTCCATGGAACATTTCTTGAACATGTATGGGCAGTGTACTGGGGGCTGCAGGGGCACAGTGACGGGCAAAGATTAGCTGCTTCCAGAAGGCTGATTTAGTGGGCTCCACAATGGCAAAATGCTGCCGTGAGTTGCAGAGAGGCCCCCCACCTCCAGTGGTGGCCAGTTTCCAAATCATTGGATACTAAGGCTTTGACATTCTGGTACCTCTCATCAAAGAGAATACACCCTCCCTGGAAGGACTTACATGAGAAAGAACAAGAGAACTTGCAGCTCCTGGACCTTCTAGTCCTCAGTATATGGTTCCTGTGTCCTTCCCAGTAGGGAGGTGGGCAGGAGAGAGGAGATGAGAGCTCTGGTCAAAATCGCCTTCTAGCTAGCGGAACAGCCTTCTGGAGAACAAGATTGCAAGAAATGAGTGGGTCTGAAGAACCAAAACATTTGTGGTAGGTCTCCCAGGAGCATGTAAAACCTGGACACACCACCAGGTTGGTTTCATGTGTTCATGGAAAGAAAGAAAATGAACCAGGAAAAAGCATCTTTGTAATGAAGCGCTGTGCCACGGTACCCACTCGGTTGAATTGGAATCTTGTTAAAACATGGAATTTACCAAAAACAGTCCTTGTCTAGATGGAAACAAATGAGATCCCCGCTTCTCTCTGAGTTATCAACTGAGAGCTGCTTGGATTGGCCAGGGGAGAAGGAAGGTGGCCATCGCAACTTAACCATGTCCAGACTTCTCCTCTTAGATTTCTCTCCTGCGGTGTTTGTGTGGCTATTTGGGAGATTGTGCAGGGGTGGTTTTTTTTTTTTTTTTTTTTTATGGGGTTTCATTATGTTTTGTGTGTTTTTTTTTAACTCCTTTTTTCTGGTTTTTTTTTTGTCTTTTTTTGTCTTTTAGATGTCTAAGGTGGGAAAGGGCGAAGGACATTGATGCCAGGAAATAGATATGACCTAGCTAACTGAGCTTTTCTTACTTCTTTCTAAGGGCAATGAAAATGGCATATATTCCTTCTGTTGGAGGGAGGAATCCTTAACTGCATCTGCATTTGTAGTATCCTTCAACGTAAAGTGCGTATTTACCACACTCCCTGAGTGCTATGGGAATGTCTGCTGTTATTAGTTATGATGCTGCTAATACTATTTTAATTGCATAGGCTGTATAAATACTCCTGTTCAGATTAGTCTGATCTAGTATTGCTAACACTCATTTTAAGCTTTTGCGGCAACGTGCATATATTCTTAAATCTAAAGGATGACAGGAACATGAGGGGAGCTTGTGGAGAATGCTTGCTTATTCAACATTTTTATTGTGATAAATGTTTGTAACCATCTATTTACGAAATGCGAGCCTGGCATTCCATGGGCTCCTTGTCAGGTGGCAGAAACTTAATGAGCTACATGGCATCCTTTGTAATGCTGCTTGTTACAGTTGGGATGTACTTGTGATATTTTGCTGTATTTAACTATAATGGTGAAGGTGACCCTTTAAATCCAATAAGGTTTCCCCCCATCTTTTCTTCTACATTTGATTATAAACACAGGCACAGTAGTATTGTTCTATTTTTGGAACAGGGTAGGCATTTTGTTTATGGTTTGCCTGCTTCTAGGTGTTTTCACCATCAGGGTGTATTAAAGGCTGACATTTAATGGGTGTGTGTTGTGCCCAGCACTGCTCGGTGTTGGGGTTCTAAAAGAATGCACCGGTGCTCTTGGCTTCAAGTTTCTGCTTTGGAGAAACAGACTGAGGAAGTAGGTGTGGCTTAAAAATAATTCTTGGTTTTTATCTAATCAGATATCATTGGTTACCTACCTACCAGGTGCCAGTTATAGGGTGTTTTGTTTACTCAAGAATGAAGTAGAACTATTTTTAAAACCTGTTTTCATGAGTGTTTAGGTTAGGTGACCTAGGCTTTGAAGGAGAAAAACATTTTCTGGGTATGAATAATGAGTTTTATAATTATTCCCATTTAGAAAAATTTTAGTCTCTGTGCCATTGAGCTTGGCAGTGTTGAGATCTCCCATGTGGGCCAGGCATGGTGGCTCAAGCCTATATCCCAGCGCTTTGGGAGACCGAGGTGGGTGGATCATGAGGTCAGGAGTTCAAGACCAGCCTGGCCAAGATGACGAAACCTCATCTCTACTAAAAATACAAAAATTAGTCGGATGTGGTGGCAGGCACCTGTAATCCCAGGAGGCTGAGGCAGAGAATTACTTGAATCTGGGAGTTGGCAGTTGCAGTGAGCCGAGATTGTGCCACTGCACTCCAACCTACATGAAGGAACAAGACTCTGTCTCAAAAAAAAAAAAAAAAGATCTCCCGTGTGGCAGAAGCCTGGCATCTGGGCCACCAAGGCTCACTGACTGTGTACCTTGGAGACTGTAGACCCATGTCGTGGCGGTAACGGGGCTGAGCACAGGCCATCCCCATGTGAAGGAGGGAGGCACAGCCCTCTTTATTATTAATCCTTATCCTTGCTCAGTTGGGACAGATTTTAACTTGTCACTGTCTTTTTTTTTTTTTTTCAGACAGAGTCTCGCTCTGTTGCCCACACTGGAGCACAGTGGTGCAGTCTTGGCTAACTGCAACTTCTGCCTCCCAGGTTCAAGCAATTATTGTGTCTCAGCCTTCCGAGTAGCTGGGACTACTGGTGCACGACACCCTGCTAATTTTTGTAGTTTTAGTAGAGATGGGGTTTCATTATGTTGGCCAGGCTGGTCTTGAACTGCGCCTGGCCTTGTCATGACTCTTTTTTTTTTTTTTTTTTTCCAAGATGGAGTTTTGTTCGTGTTGCCCAGGCTGGAGTGCAGCAATGCGATTTTGGCTCTCTGCAACCTCTCCCTCCCGGGTTCAAGCAATTCTGCTGCCTCAGCCTCCCGAGTAGCTGGGATTACAGGCATCCGCTACCACGCCCAGCTAATTTTTTATATTTTTAGTGGAGACGGGGTTTCACCATGTTGACCAGGCTGGTCTTGAACTCCTGACCTCAGGTGATCCACCTGCCTCAGCCTCCCAAGGTGCTGGGATTACAAGCATGAGCCACCTTGCCCCACCTGTCATGACTCTTAACTGGGATCTGGCACACTGCACTGGGTGTTTTGTTTTCCGGTATGCACATTGATGGAAGCATAGTGGTACAAGGGAAATGAGTCTGTGTTCAACCATTTAAAAAATTGTTTTGTAAAGCAAACAAAATTGGTTTGAATACTTAAATATTACTTTTTAACATTGCCTTGACTGATTTTCTAAGAATTATGTGAATGGTAATGAGTCCAGGGCAGTTCACATCAGCCGTCACAAATATGGCAGTCCAGCAAGGCCCGTGGAGGTCCCTTTTTTTCTTTTTCAGTGTTGCTTTTATGGTGAAACCTGGCTTTTGAAATAGTTTAGTTGTTTGGCTCAGAGCTCCTACTTTCCCCCTAACATGGCACATATCTCTTTTTTTAAAAAAAAAAAAAATCATTTTACCCTTCAGCAGTATTTTCTGCTATTCCCATTAATATCATGTAATATAAACCACCTGCTACTGATTTAGGTGTATTACAGACTAAAATTATTAGCTGCTTTGAATGCATTGGCACTCATAATTATTACAAAGGAGAATTGAAAAGTAGTCTTGTGTCCTAGTCAATTTAGGACACACGTTTAGCTTTGGGCAAACTAAGTAGCTTTTTCTTCTGTCCTCTTCTCAAAAGGCTTTTTAAGCAGCAGAGACTGCTCAATATTGGAACGGAATTCCTTTTCTGCATGCCCTTTTGCTGCCAAAGACCACTTGTGGCTCCTTGTCTAGAATGCTCTAAGACCAAATTTGGCCAGACACGGGGTTCCTTGATTGCTCTATTCAACTACTAGAGAACCTGTATTTTGCCTTCTTAATAGCGACTTCCTTTTGTGCCAGGTTTTTTTTTTCTTTCTTTTGCCTTAGTGTTTGGGAGCTTAGCTCAAAGTTCAGCTGACCTTTGACACTACTAGTGGGTTAAAGAAAGGGAAGGGAATGAAGTACCTTTAATGCAGGGTCAGCGAACTTTTCCTGTAAAGGGCCAGATAGAAAGTATTTTGGGCATTTTGGGCTGTTCACTGTTGCTACCACTCTAGGAGTGATCATGGTCGTGGCTGTGTAACTTGATTTACCAAAACAAGCTGTGGGCTGGACTTGGCCCTCAGGCTGTGGCTTGCTAGCCCCCGCTCTAAGGTATTGTGTTGGTGGCAATGGCAAGATTCCCTTGCTGAGACGGTGCAGATGGATAACCTTGTAGCTGGGATGCAGAGAGGAGAAAGTTCTGTAGGTAATAAGTGCACTGTATTCCCTTATGAGCTACTTCCTGGGCATCGTTACATGTATGGCCAGTGTGTGTACTTGAGCTGTCAGGCTCGGCCCTTGTTGAATATACCTCTCATTGTTTTAGTTTGTAATTGTGCTAGTGTTGGGTGCTGAGCTCAACTGCCCAGATGACCTTTCCAGACTGAAGGACTTACTCCCCTAACTGCTGGGAGCGCTGCTGGCTGGCCATTTACTGCCAGCCCTCATGGGAGTTTCCCCTGTCGAAGAGCCCTGCCTGCCCCAGATCACATCCCCTTCCTGCCTGTAACCCTTACCAGCTCCATATGGGGTACAAAGGGCTGGCCTCCCCACCCCAACTTGGGAAACCCTGTAGGGCCATCCCACGTCCAGAGCCCCTTGTGGGGTCAGTGAGGCCTCATTGTCGCTGCATTGCAGCCCAGTGCCTCCCTGTGCCCAGCCTGTACCCAGCCCATGTCAGCCCACAGCCCTCTCCTGTGAACCTTCCTGCACGCTGGTCTCCGCCTTGGTGTCTGCTTTCGGGGAATCCAACCTGCAACAGTGCTTCTGTGCGTTTTTGGTCCTGCAGGTTTGAACTTTGACTTCGGAGACTTCCAGTTACCTAGTGGAATGACAGGTTGTGCCTGTATGGTATCAGGCACAATGAATGCAAATGAGGTAGACTTGCTATTTATTCTAGATGTGAATTTGCTATTTATTCTAAGTGTTGATTTTATGTGTATGTGACTCTGAACTTATTGCCAAATAAAAGTTTGAATTGTATCATCTGGTTTATTGTCAGTCACCTATTTTGTGTGTTTAAGTCCGACACGTTAAATGCTGATGAATCCACAGTATCGTTGTGCTAAAAAGGCATTTTTCCAGGACTTGAGGTTATTTCTACAAAAATAAAGGAGGTCTTGGATTAAAAAAAAGAATTCTAAGGAACTCCAAAAAGTTTATCCCTGAGAGAAGGGATAACCTTTTTTAGGGAAATCCCACACCGGGGTATGGGTTTTTTCTTACTAGCCCCATCTCCCCCAACCCCCAGCAAGCACACCCACTTGTTTTCAGAGTGTGAAGACTGTGGAACGTAAGCCTCAGATGAAAATTGGGCTTGAGCACAGTTGGGCAGCAGGTAACCTATGGTGTCACCACAGAGGTTCCTGGTGAAGCCAGTGGTTCATGTTGGTAATCAATTTACGAGGGATTTTTCTTTTAACGTGTGTGTGTG